TGTACATTATTTTATTTAGGTTTATATACTTTTGCAATATCATCTTGTGTTCCCAGATGAAGTAGAGGCTCCATTGTGTTGTGGACTGAATCTACCCATGTTAATGTCCTCAGAAATTGTGGCTATTGTGGCTCATTTTGTAATGAGACATGTATTAATGAAAGGAAGCATCTATATATTAATAGTTGGTCAAAATAAAATTGAAGTCCTGTTTCTGCATCTAGGCATTGAGGCTGAAATTGAACTATTTTTAATTTGTGTATGCTAGCTCGGATTACATCTTTACAAGAAGAAGTAAAAAATCTTAAAAATAATCTTGAAAGAGTGGAAGTGGAAAGAAAACAGGCACAAGACTCACTTAATCATTGTGAAAAGGTAAGATAACTAATAATACATAGTAATTAAAGAAAATGCATCTTACTGGCTGTGGTCAGAATATAATCATGCATTGAATTGTTTTGTATTGTGTAAATAAATCACAGCTTCTTTGAGTGTGCCAGTATGGATCCCACTCTGGACACGCATGCATCTCCTATGTGAGAATGGACCTTTATTCTTGATCTGAGGAGACTCAGAAAATACATAATCCAGTCTGAGAATGGTAATGTGTGCCTGCATTGCTCCAAGCTCTTTGGTGGTTTGTTGTTTTGGACTTCCAGGATGGTATCCTTACATAATGCCATCCGTCTGGCCCATCGGAAGTGCCTAAGGTTAATAGTGGGGATCAGCCACTCCTAGTTCAGGGTGTTGCCTTTCACACTCTCCATGGCGCTGAGGGCAACATATTTAAGAAAACATGGCATTTACACCTGTTCCTATGTAGATGATGGACTGATCAGAAGCAGGTTCCAGCAGGAGATGAGAATGGCCCTGGATTGTGTTTTCTTCTTGTTGTCTCACTTTATGAATCATAGCCTGCTAAATAAAATGAGTGATTTTTCTTCAAAGACTTCTTTACCCCTTTTATGCCTTGTTTTTAAATACCTAAAAAAGCATGGTATAGTACACACTATTAATATTGTGACTTGTGAATAAACAAGCGTGACATCTTTTTTTTTGTTTTTTGTTTTTTTTTTTTGTTGAAGGAGGAAAAGAAAACGTGGGTTCCTTTCATGGCCTTGTAAAATACTGCAGAATTTCATTTACAGTTCTGTTTTAATAACATATTGGGTTTTTTGGTCCTGATTTGCAGGAAAAGAATAATTTAGAAATAGATTTAAACTATAAACTCAAAACATTACAACAGCATCTGGAACAAGAGGTCAATGAGCATAAAGTGACTAAAGCTCGGTTAACTGACAAACATCAGTCAATTGAGGAGGCAAAATCAGTTGCAATGTGCGGTATGTATTTCCTTTTAGTTTCAAATAGACTTTATTAGTGCTTAATATTTTATTTTCCTAATTCCATTATAATGGCAATTTTTTTAACGCAGTGTTTGTAAAATCAGCTTTTAATCCTTGATGTAGGGAGAGCATAGATGCATGTCAAAATTTAAAAATCTACATAATGCAATACATTATTTAAAGATTCCGGGCTATCTTGTTAGCTGGTGTGAGTCAGCATAGCTCTGTTAATATCAGTGTACTATACATTTGATAATCCTGTATTGTTTATATCTTTAAGTTAAGGGAAAGTTATTTATTTATAATTTCACTGCTTCGAAGTTTTCACCACACATGACTTGTCCTCGTCCACCTGCTTCCCCTCAGAGTTTAGAGGCTTGGTCACCGCTACTGATCGGGTCACTAAAAGTTCAGTTGGCAGCACAAAGGGGCTAAGGCAGGCTCCCTTCCAGCCCTGGCTCCATGCAGCTCCCTGGCTTATAGGCACAGTGGTGGCAATGGAGGGGCCATGCACTGTGTGAGCTCCTCAGCTCCCATGGACAAATGAGAGCTGTGGGGGCAGCTCCTGCAGGTTCAGGCGGCATGCAGATTCCCCTGGCCCTTACTCATAGGAGCCAGACATGTCTGTAGCTTCCAGGTAAGTGCTGAACACATGCAACTTGCACCCCAAACCTCCTTCCCCAGCTGTGTAATCCCTCCTGTAGCCCGTACCTTCTCCAACACCAGTCCCCTGCCCCAGTCATGTGTCATCTCCTATACCCCACCCCAGAGCTAAAATCCCAACCTCCTACCCCACCTGTGAGCCCCTCCCCCCACACACAAACGCACTGAATCCCTTAGTCCCAGCCTGTAACCTACTTCTACACTCCAAATTCCTCATCCACAGCCCCATTCTGGAGTTTGCACCACCTCACACATTCCAACTCCCTGCCCCAGCCTGGTGAAAGTGAGTGAGGGTGAAGGAGAGACAGAGGGAGGAAGAATGGAGTGAATAAGGATGGAGCCTCAGAGCAGGGTTACCAAGTTAGAAACTGTAATGTGTTCATACGCTTCAGGATATTTTTTGCTATTCAGTCTTCTCCAAAAAAATTATTTGATTGAATTTCCAAATGGCTGCTGTTGGCAGTTAGTGGACTGACAAGTAGCTGTCTGTATGAGGGATGTAATTTACTGATATTCACTATCACTATCTCTCTGTTTGTTGAAACAGTATTATGATTTTGTTCAGTGGTAGACTAGAGATGCATTCTCATCTGGCTGTGAAGGAATTCTAACATCTCAGCCTTGGGAGTTTAGGTTGTAGAAATCCTGTGTTAAATCCCAAAGAAAGAATATTTAAGAAAGGCATGGTCAAGCAAACACATTCTTAGAAGTACCATGTTTGTATTTTTGCATATATACATTTTTATTGTGCTGTTAATTGCTTTCGTTTCCTATTTAGAAATGGAAAAAAAAGTGAAGGAAGAGAGGGCAGCAAGAGACAGAGCAGAAAATCGAATAGTTCAGATTGAAAAACAATGTTCCATGCTGGACTTTGACCTGAAGCAGTCTCAGCAGAAACTTGAGCACCTCATTGAGCAAAAAGAGAGACTAGAGGATGAAGTAAGCAACATGTGCATTGTTACCTATCATATTTTCTGTGTAAAAGACAAGTGGGGGAAAAAAATCTATTTAAATTGAGATGTTTATGTAGCATAATGCAAAAGAATATGACTCTACTAAGAAATGTCACTTAAATGGTCAAATGCCATATCTTTCAGTCTTCCTTATAAGAGCTGTGCATTAACAGTGAGCTTATTTCAGACATGAAGTCACAGGGGTCCTATGTAATATAGATATGCAGGAAATAAGTTTTGCAGAGTTTATGGGTGTCAGAGTGGCTAGCATATTTTCTTATGCATTATCAAAGCCATCTCTATATTACTGAAGGATATACTATTTATTCTATCTGTTCTGTGTATTAAAGGACTCTAAGCTGAATTGCAAATGTTAATGTTTCCATATTAATGTTATTTAACCAGATCTGACATTTGACATATTGTAGTCATGTATGCTGTTATCCTTGCATGGCTTAATATATAATGTTTCTATTGTGGGAAGCTAACTTGTTGGTGTCCTGTCTCTCTTTGTGTTTTGAGCTTTTACCTGGTTGGTAATTTTTAAATTTCATTTTATTTTTATTTTTTTAAATATCTTTTCTGTGAGTTTGAACATGCTTTCACATTGCACTTGCAAAATAGACATTTTGTGTGATCTGAATTTGCATCCTTCAAAATGAGTGTGCAAAACTTGATCCCAGGAACACCAGTTGAAAGTTGTTGTAAGATACATATGAGCTAGTTATTTTTTTTAAAAAAATTGTTGTTGTCATCCCTGTGATCCTTTCAGATTAAATTGGAAGAGTCAGTCTGAAAACCTTTCTGCTGGGCCATGATATCTGCAGTTCAAATTTTAGACCACTCCGAGAAGCATAATTTCTAGGGTAAAAAAGAGACAAAACTTGTAAAAGCTGAATTCTACAAAGAATGGGGATTTGTCAAACTACTTGGGTCTCATCCACTATCCCCCTTAGGGCTGAGAAGATGAGAGTGAATTCAGACCTTACTCTTGAGCCTGTTACAAAAGACACTATGGCTGGAAACAAGGACATTTTTAGGCCAAAATATAGACCAAAATCTATAAGAGAAACTGGTTTCTATGATACTGTACTCAAGTCATTTTGGAGGCTATTTTGAATATTTAAATACATTATTTCACGGATAAAATATAGGAAATGGTTATTGTTGATATAAAATAATGCATATGAGAAACATTACTTTCAACAAAATTTAGGAAAATATTTGGAAAAACCATTTTAAATTTAAATGATTTATTATACCATTAGGTTAAGAATCTAACACTTCAGCTGGAACAAGAGACAAATAAGCGAGTAATGACACAGAATGAACTGAAAATGCAAGCTTTTGTGGCAGACAGTTTGAAGGGTTCTGAGAAGCAGCTGAAACAGGAGATCAATACGTTGTTGGAAGCGAAGAGATTATTGGAATTTGAGTTGGCTCAACTCACTAAGTAAGTAGAGCTCTGCCATAAAATGAAAACCCCTTTTTTCATGTTCATGTATTTTGTCACTTTTTTCCAGAACCCCCAAATAATTGAGTATTGGTATTATTTTTTGAAAATGTGTGTCTGTGAAGATGTATATTTATTTATAGCGTTAGGATGTTTTTTTGTGTACTTTCCTGATACTTCTATGCTTACGCTTGGCCAGCCTCACTGGAGCACTTGAAGTGCCTGTCCCCAAAACTACCATTTGAGACTTAAATTTTTAGACCACCCGTTGAAGGATAACTGAGCTTCATGACTGGGTACGTTTTTTTCTCCTTAAAAACATTCCTCCTCTTGCTTATTTTTTTAGTTTGACAGGATACAGCAACAAGAATATCCTTCCTTTAGTGAACCTCTGCCGTATAGTCTAGAGGTTGAAGACTGAAATAAAGTACTTTTCTCAGCACTGCTTCCCATCTAAATTACTCATTATGGTACCATAATTTATATTGTTAAATCAGAATCTTAAGATAAGGTTTTCATGAATTACAGGTTTATAGTTTACAGGTGCTATGTGAGTAAGGTAGTGAGTGCAAATGATGGAAAAAATGCTGTGTTTAAAGGTGCACGTGTCATGGATGGCTTTTGTATGAGGTTTTGTTTTCTCTCTTTTAGGCAGTATAGAGGAAATGAAGGTCAGATGCGGGAACTTCAGGATCAGCTTGAAGCTGAACAGTATTTTTCGGTAGGATAAACAAAGGATAGTTTTGTTTTAATAACTTTGACTTTGTACCTCAGTGGCCAAGCATAAATGAGTGATACACAAAATGCTACTAAAACACGCACACAAATCAAGCTAACAAGATGAAAGATTGTGCTATATGTATATTAACAATCATAAATACTGTATTGGATCTATTACTATTTTGTTTATATGATTTAGTGGGCAGCAACATTTTGTATTCCACTTAAGTTGTACTTCAAGAGTTACGCAGCATCACTTGGGTCCTTAACTCAATTAACTTTAGTTTTTCTTCCTTTAAATAATTGTGCTGGGAATGAGGGTTCAGTATATGAGCTTCTGGGGTATATGGGCTACCCCAGTCCTCTTACTGCAGCAGCTTGGGGCCAGGTGAGAAGCACTTCTCCATGCTGCTGCAACTCCAGTGGGCACAGCCTGGGGAGGGATGCATATCCCCAGGCTGGGGCAGGTCCAGGTGTGTTTCCCCTGTGCTCCCCAGCTGGAGTGAGGAGTACAGCAAACTGTGCTCTTTCTTCTCAGGGGAACAGACAACAATGTTCCAGTACAAATTATGGATGGAGGTGATTCAGCCCTGTTTTCTCCCCCAAAGGGCTCTTGGGTAATGGGAGGCTTGGGGCTGAGGTAGTCGTGGATGTGGGCAGAGCCTTTCAGCTGCCAGTTGATTCTGTTTTCTGAATGGTTTTATGAGAAGCAATCCCATTCCAGGAACATTTAATTTTCCTGGCACAACCAAATCCTTACCTTGTTTTAAATTACGATAAGAGGAAGCTGTATACTGAATTTGGTGATCCTAGCTTTTTCCGTTTAGGAGTAGTTCTTGGACAGACTGACTCACAGACAAACTCTCTCAGATATATTAGATTTGAATTTGTCTAGCTTTTGCTTCTACAACAGGTTCTTGTTATGCCATTCTCCTCAAAGTTAGAGCCCTCTAGTGCCCAGTACTTTCTCCTCATGAAAATAATTATATACTGCATTCCAGTCACATTCTTTATGTCTTTCTTTCTGCCTTTTTAAAGTAAATGCTAGAGGGCTGTGCCTCCTGCTCACTATGCTCACCAACCCCCCTCTCGTGGGAGGTAGGCAATCCTGACTGTCCCACTGTATCAGCCCATACTCCTTCCCCACAGCCGCGCCACTCTGAACCCCTTCTTCCTCTGCGCCCCTCCCACCATGTCAGCTGGGCCCTTTCTCTCACCCCCCGGCCATTTGGCTGTGACCTAACCCTAACTCCTCTCCCAACTGTGGTGGTCCGCGCACTCTCCTCCCTTCCTTTAGGAGGGCTGCTTTGAGGCCTCGCAAGCCCACGTGGCAGCCGAGCACTGCGGAGGGAGGAGGCAGGCGGGACGCAGAGTTGACATGATGACGTCACTCTGCCGTCCTGCAGGAAAAGATTTTTTTCTCTAATATATTGAGAGAGATTGAGCTTTGAGTCTCTCTGTGTACAGTATTTTATCTGGCCTCCAATAACTTGAGGTTTTGTTCTGCACCTTCTCCAATTTTTCAACATTCTTTTTTATAATGGACAGCAAAGAGATGCACAGTAGTTCAATATCAGTCTCACCAATGTCATATATGTATAAGGCAATATTAAGTGATGATTCCTCTTCGAGTGATCCCCATGAGTGCTCCACTCATGGTGTCGGGCTCGTCCCGCACCGCAGCTCGGATGCTTTGTTTAGCTGTTTTCAGCCGGGTGCGCAGGATACAGCTCGTGCCGTTCGCACTCTTTGATCTTCGCGCACACCCGGCTTCCCTGTCAGTTCCTCTTAACCGTCCCTGAACGCAGACAGAGCTCTGATCTTTTCCTCACAGCAGTTCTCCTTCCCTCAGGGAATCTGTAGTTAAATAGTTAATTGTATATAGTTAGATTACCTTTATTGTTCTTTGATCTTGTTTACTGAATTAAAAAAAAAAAAGGATACCTCTTCATTTAAACCGAGGCTTACAGCCACTTCCCACTGTTAACAGCTGAAAGAACAACAACAAAACCACAAAACAAAAAAACCACTTTGTCTCAGGAAGAAACTGATCAATAATCATGCCTGGGTCTCCAGGCTTCAAGAAATGTGGCCATTGTGGTGAGCCAATGCCTCTCTCAGACGGGCATTTGCTTTGTGTGCGTTGCCTGGGGGGAAGCCACACTCCCCACAAGTGTGGGCACTGTGCGAAAATGACAGCCCGAATTCGGCGAGATAGAGAGATAAGGCTGAATGGGTTTCTACTTGATAAAGCGCTGGACTCCAGGACAGAAAATGTTGAACAGAGGGGGAGAACCCCTTAACAGAGGATCTCTTCCCCGGATCTGAGGGAGAAGAGGCAAAGAATCTCCCCAGCCAGATCCCTACCATCCGATATATTGGTGGTAGGTGACTGAGTAACTTCTCATAATCCTCTCCAATTTTTCAACATTCTGCCTATTTGTGTATGTGTATTACGATAGTCTGTAATTACATGATTTCATACAATTTCTTTTTCCTGTAGGACATGTGCTGCTTTCACTAGACAAGTTGAATATGTAAGGAGTGGAATTAAGGCTGAATAGACAACTGTAAATCTGGCATTTCTTATCTATTGAATACTTGGCTTTGCAATCAAAATGTTTAATATGCCTTTTTGTATGTAATATTATACCGACTTTGTTCAAATGGCTCTTCATGCCCACAAAACCTGTTCCTTTAATACACGAGAGTCTTGATTCATAATTGGGCCAGTCAAACCAAACCATCTTTAAGTTAAATGCTCTTTATCAGAAGATTTTCAGTGTGTTGCGCTTTGTTTGTGGTGTAGGTTAATACTTGTCTACTCCTGCGTCACAGAGAGATCCATTGTCTACAGCCAAGCACGTAGGTACAACCATATTTTCTCCAGCCCCTCAGTCAGAGACCAACACCTACAAAATCTTCAACAAGCATTCTTGAAACTGATACCCATACGAGGAAGTAAGGAAACAGATCAATAGAGCCAGAAGTGTACTCAGAAGCCTCCTGCTGCAGGACAAGCCCAAAAAAGAAACCAACAGAACACCACTGGCCATCACCTACAGTCCTCAGCTAATACCTCTCCAACGCATCATCAATGATCTACAACCCATCCTGGACAACAATCCCTCACTTTCACAGGCCTTGGGAGGCAGGCCAGTCCTTGCCCACAGGCAACCTGCCAACCTGCATATTCTCATCAGCAACTATACACCGCACCACAGTAACTCTTAACTCAGGAACCAATCCCTGCAACAAACCTCGGTGCCAACTCTGCCCACATATCTACACCAGCGACACCTAACCAGGACCTAACCAGATCAGCCACACCATCACTAGCTCATTCACCTGCACATCTACCAATGTAATATATGCCATTGTGTGCCAGCAATGCCCCTCTGCTATATACATTGGCCAAACTGGACAGTCCCTACGCAAAAGAATAAATGGACACAAATCAGATATTCGGAATGGCAATATACAAAACCCTATAGGTGAACACTTCAATTTCCCTGGACACACAATAGCAGATTTAAAGGTAGCCATCCTGCAGCAAAAAAACTTCAGGACCAGACTTCAGAGAGAAACTGCTGAGCTTCAGTTTATCTGCAAATTTGACACCATTAGCTCAGGATTAAACAAAGATTGTGAATGGCTATCCAATTACAAAAGCAGTTTCTCCTCTCTTGGTGTTCACATCTCCAGATCAGCTGCTAGAAGTGGGCCTCATCCTCCCTGATTGAATTTACCTCATTATCTCTAGCCTGACTCTGGCCTGCATATTTATACCTGCCTCTGGAAATTTCCACTACATGCATCTGATAAAGTGGGTCTTTGCTCACAAAAGCTTATGCTCCAATACATCTGTTAGTCTGTATTGCTACAGGAGTCCTTTTTGCACAAAAAAACCCCTTTTGCGCAAGAGCCGTTCTTCCTCATTTTGAGGGGGTTTTTACGCAAAAAGGCGCCATCTACATAGTGCTTTTTTGTGCAGAAACCTCTTGTGCAAAAGGGAAAGGAAGAGGAAATGCAAATGAGTGTGGCATGTGCAAATGAGCGCTCTATTTGCATTTGGTCTTCCACAAGAGGCTCGTAGTTTAGACGAAGCCTAAGGAGATATGATAGAGGTCTATACAATCATGACTGGTATGGAAAAAGTGAATAAGGAAAAGTTATTTACTTATTCCCACAATATAAGAATTAGGGGTCACCAAATGAAATGAATAGGCAGCAGGTTTAAAACAAACAACTGGTAGAACTCCTTTCCAGAGAAGGCTGTGAAAACCAGGAGTTTAACAGTATTAAAAAAAAGAGCTAGATAGCCATTGATTGCCTAACCTCCATGAATCTATTAGCCAGGATGGGTAGGTATGGTGTCCCTAGCCTGTTTTTCTGGAGTTGGGTGACAAGGAAGGGATCACGTGAGGATTACCTGTTGTGTTCCCTCCCTCTGGGGCATCTGGTATTGGCCACTGTCGGCAGACAAGATACTGGGCTGGATGAACCATTGGTCTGACCCAGTATGACCATTCTTACGTTCTTATTCCTAAAATGATCTCAGAATTCCACCTGAACCAGTCTATTACCATACAAGTTTTTTCCTGAGGCCATCCTCATTGCCTGGAGAAAACAAGCTTCATACTCTGGATGCTTCCAAGGTCTTGCTTTATTACCTGGATGGGATCAAGTCCTTCATATTTTGTCTTTCTGTCTCTTCTTGGCTTTGTCTGGTGCATCAGCAAAGTCAAAGCAGAACATTCCAGAGAATCTCAAACAAAATACAGGACTATGTAGCAATTTAAAGACTAACAAGATGGTTTATTAGATGATGAGCTTTCATGGGCCAGACCCACTTCCTCAGATCAAGCAGAAGTACAGTATTTTTAATCTGATTTTTCCCCCTCCATTTCATGAATTCCTATAATTAAACAAAGAAACATTAATTGGCATGATCTGAATTCTTGGCCATATTTCTTCAGAATGAAATGTTTCTTTTAAGCTTACAGGTTTATAATGCTCTTTTTAACATTTGTATTACCCTGGTACCTAGGGATCCTGGTCAAGAACCAGGACTCCATTGTGTAATGTTGTGTCCAAACAATAAAAATATATCCTCTGCTCCCAAGAGCTTGCCATCTAAGTATAAAACAAGAAACAATAGGTGAATACAGATAGATGGGGAGTATGAAGAAGCAATGAGACCATATTAATCGGCAGCAACTGCAGTGATATTAGTGTACTATGTGTCTGATTGTTGTAAATTTTTTTTGTAGGAATCACAGCAAAGGAGAGTTTTAAGGAGGGATTGGACTAATGATATCTTTCTAATGCTTCTCTCACAGACACTTTACAAAACTCAGGTTAAAGAGCTTAAAGAAGAAATTGAGGAGAAGAATAAAGAAATTCAAAGAAAAGTACAGGATTTTCAAAATGAAAAGTAAGTCTATTTTATATTTTCAAGCAGAAATACTTTTACTTTACATAGTAATGTGATATCAATATTGAAACCCTGAATCCAGGATAAAAAAAATAAAATGCTGTAGTAATGCTGGAAAATGACTACTTATAAAAATATAATAGGATTTGTAATATGATAAATACATAGGATGTTACTCACATTGATTGATGATTAAGGATGGAGTCAGGACTTACATTTATTTTCTTGGACTAGGTTTGGGGGTTTTGAAGACAATTATTATTAGTCCTGAGTGTTTAGAAATGTGTGAAAAATTGTTTTAGTTGTTTCCATAATTTATTTGTGAGACTCCTCCAAAAATGTTAGCCTGGTAATTGCCTATAGGTTTTGAGCCAATAAATACTTTTCAGACAAAGAATTTTAATGGAGACTAGAGGTCTGTGCTTGCTGAGCTTGCCAACCCCGGCTCTCCCCCCCAGCCACTGTGGAGAGCTGGGCTTACAGCTGTGCTAGTCCAGGTCCTTTCTTCCTCCCCCTTCCCTCCCGCCCAGGGCCCTGCTCTCCCTCCCCCCACCGCCCGGGCCCCTTCTCCTCCCCCTGCCATGCCAGCCCAGATCTCCCTTTTCTTTCCTCCCCCCCACCAGACCGGGACCTGTCTGTCTCTTCCCCCCCTTCCCTCCCCCAGTCATGGCTCATGCCAGGGCCAGCTCTAGCCCCGGTGGCCAGGGAGGCACAGAGTGCCTGCCCACCCTGCGCAGGGCACTGTAAGGCGCAGGTAGTGCCTTGCGCATATAGTATTCCAGGACACTGCAGCTTGCTGAGGTTGGGAAAGCAACAGCATGGGGGGCCACTGTCTCGACCTCTCCCCCATGTGGTCTCACCTGTGCTGCTAATTGCCCAGCTCTTCCCGCAGAGCCCAGGGCCATCTGCCCACCAGGAGCAGAAGGGAAGGAGCAGATAGGTTGGTGTGGCGGCTCCCCCAGGCAACCTGGGGGTGCTCTGGCAGCCATGGTAAGTGCAGCTGTTGGGGAGGACATGAGTCTCCACAGGAGCGGACAGACTCTAGGCATTCAGGTACTGCGCTCCTGCTTCCCAAGGACCTGGTGGTGAGAGAGCCCCCAAGAGCCCACTGCTGCTGCACAAGCCTGGCTGGGAGCCCCGCTCCTAGTGCCTGTTCCAAGCACCACACTCTCACCTCCTGCCCCGGGGCTGTCACAGCTGCAATGTGGAGTCTGCCAGCTATTGTGCCATGTTTCTTGGCATTGAAAATCCTGTAGGGTGGGGGTGGAGGAAGGTAGAAAGGTGTGACTCAAAGCAACGTGATGATGTCACTCTGTCATCCCGCAGGAAAAACCCAATATATAGAGAGAGAATACTTCATTTGAAACCTATTCTAAATGTGTAGCACTAATTACAACCAAATCAATTGTTTGCAAACAGTTTTGTAATTGAAGAATATACAGTTTCAGTATTTCAAAACTTATAAAAGAATATTACTTAAAACTGTTTCCCATTCAATCATTTGTTCTTCTATCTATGCAGAATTAGACCTGTCCATTTAATAATTTTCATTGAGAAATGGTATTTTTACACTTGTCTATATTATAGAACATGATACTTCAGAAGCATGATCCATCCATACTGCACACAAGTCATAAGAGTAAATGAGAGAATGTTAAAAACGAGTAGCCCCGTGGCATCTTAGAGACTAACAAAACATATATATATAGGGTATCACAAGTGGGCTTTACCCACGAAAGCTCATGATACTATATACTTTTTTGTTAATCTCTGAGGGTATGTCTACACTACCACCCTAGTTCAAACTAGGGTGGTTAATGTAGTCATATGAACTTGCAAATGAAGCCCGGGATTGGAATTTGGAATGAGGCGTACAGATAGTTCGGAATAGGAAGCCTAGTCCGAACTATCTAGTTCGTGCCACGTGTAGCCGCGGGCACGGAGTCTGCACTAGCGGACATTTAAAAATGGCGGCGCCTGGCAACATGCAAATGAAGCCCGGGAAATTCAAATCCCGGGCTTCATTTGCAAGTTCATATGACTACATTAACCACCCTAGTTTGAACTAGGGTGGTAGTGTAGACATACCCTGAGGTGCCACAGGACTACCTGTTATTTTTAAAGTTACAGACTAACACGGCTACCCCTCAAAGACTGTTCAAAAACAATGTTCACCGTGGATTTGGGAAGAAGGAAGGGAAGGAGAGAGATGACACCATGTTGTTAAATATGATATAAGGAGAGAATATTAGTCATCCACAGCCTGGGAGCAGAGAGGGGGGAGAGAGAGAGAGACTCAGTTCCTCCAGGTGGTTAGAAGAGCGGATCCCTCTAGCTGTCTTAGTATCTCTTCACTTCTTTGCCCAATCCCATTTATTTTTATTCCTTCACCTCTTCAGCATAACATACATTATATTTTTAGATTTGTACACAATCTATTCCAAATTTATTCTGTCTGATTGTTGCCTGTCTATGCTTGAGGCATTCTGTTCTACAAATACACCATATAAGGGAGTCAGGTTCAGTACAGTTGTCCTTGAATGGTGAAAACTTATTTTTATTTTGCAATACAGATAGGCCTTTAACATTACCTCCTACTGCAGTAAAAACTATAACTGGTTTTAGCAGGGTTTGGGGAAATTGTGAATGATACTTTTTTTTTTTTTTTTTAAATCATGCTTGTGGCTGTGATGTTTCCCTAAATTGTGAGGTAACTTGCTACATCTTCCCTTAACTTGAAAAATCTTTGCATAGTGCCAGCTGTGGGTTAGCTCCCGAGTGCCACTGGCCACGGGTAACACAAACACTGCTATCTAGGCCCCACAGGTCCTACTGTTACTCTGTAGGTTACTGATTGGCACAACCAATGTCTCCGACCCTCCAAATGTCTCCCTGGAGTCTCCAGCCCCTTGTTGGACACTCTCTTAGTTTTCACAGATTTACTACTTCCAAAGAAATATTGGTCCCAGTTAGATATGTTCATAGGGAAATGAAGTATAAGTTAATTTAACAAAGCATAGAGATTCAAGTAGTAGCAATTAGAACTATTGGAAAACAAACAGTTACATAATAAATAAAATCATAACACATTCAGGAGCCTAGATTTAAGACATTAGAGTGTCTTGTTAATTATAGAGTATTGTTTGCCCAAAATACTTAGTGCTTCATCATCAGATTGAATCTTTCACCTAGGAGGCCAACTAACAGTGTGCTTGTCTCATGAAAGGAGCATCAGAACCAATGTGTTCATTGTACTCCAACCTTTTGTCTTTATTCATAAAGAAGATACCCTCCCCCTGTTTCTTGTTTCCTGTAGATTTTCTCATTTGTAGATTTTGCAATCACACCATTCACACTTGGTCATAAAATCATAGAAGATTATAGTAGGAAGATATCTCAAGAGGTCATCTAGTCCATCCCCATGCTTGCAGGAGAGCCAACCCCTACTAAATCATCTCAGCCATGGCTTTGTCACGACAGGCTTTTTAAAACCTCTAAGGATGGAGATTCTGTCATCTCCCTAGATAATCCATTCCTGTGTTTCTCCACTCTCCTAGTGAAATACTACTTCCTAATATCCAACCTTGACATCCCCCAATGCAACTTGAGACCATTGCTGTTTATTCTGTCGTCTGCTACCACCGAGAACAGCCTATCTCCATCCCCTTTGTAGTCCGTTCGTCCCCCCCCCCATTAGGTAGTTGAAGGTTGCTATCAAGTCCCCCATCTTTCTTATATTCTGCAGGCTAAATAAACCCAATTTCCCTCATAAATCATGTTCTTTGTCCTGCTAATCATTTTCATTTCCCCATGCTGGACACTCCAATTTGTCCACATCCTTTCTGTAGTGGTCGGGGGGCGGGGGGTGGCAAAACTGGATGCACTACCCCAGGTCAGGTCTTACCAGTGCCAAATACATCTGCTGACAATGCTCCTACTAATAAAGCCCAGTATGCCATTAGCCTGCTTGGCAACAAGGGCACACAGTTGACTTGGATCCAGCTTCTTGTCCACTGTAATCCCCAGCTCCTTTTCTGCACAACTGCCACTTAGCAGTTGGTCCCCAACTTGTAGCAGTGCATGGAATTCTTCTGTGCAATCTGTACTTGTTCTTCTTGAACCTTGTTAGATTTCTTTTGACCCAGTCCTCCATTTTATTTAGGTCATTCTGGACACTATCCCTACCCTCCATCACATCTTATCTTGGCCTCCCTTCCCAGCTTAGTATCATCTGCAAACTTGCTGAGGGTGCAGCCCCTCCCGCCTTCCAAATTACTAATGAAAATGTTGAACAAAATGAGCCTCAGGACTGACAGCTGGGCATTCTGGTCCAATATGCATATAGCCGTGGTCCCCAACACGCCATGGCGCCCGCGGGGGCGTTTCTCTGTGCCCACCAAGTGCTCAGGGCTGGCCTGGCCCCGGGCACGTGGCGCATGCGCGGTGCTGGAGCCGCCCCGGGC